GCGCCACTGTGAGTCGTCTTCCTAGTATAGACTGTTTTTTTTACAAGAGCACAGTAGAAACACGAACACTCGTAACACGTGCATGTTCACTCTTATAAATACATACATGCACACCCATTCAAAAGATGATTTTAACAACGGAAGTAATTAAAAGGCTCTCAGCGTCGACCAGCCCAGACTTCCGGTGAGGCGGTGACTACACTCTGGCTCTGCCCCCTGAAAACACCATTTTTTCTAAAATAATCCCAAACACCAAAGTTGGTACCTTGTGAATAGGGATGGCAATTTAACCCGTTTATCCATGGGTAAAAACCCTAATAGAGTTGGGTTTGTTCTACATTTAGTACCTATGGGTTTTTTATTGGGTCAAAACCTATACCCAACGGGCATACGGGCACGGGCATGGGTAGTCACTACCCATGCCCGCTTCGCCCGTTTACCCGCGAAAATCAACTGACATGTGGTCCCTCAGTCAAATTAGTATAAATGCCACCATCTAGTATTGATGAACTTGTAATGCTTGTATTGTTGAACTTGGTACAACTCTACCCTTTCTTTAAATTGTGATAATGTCTCTCTGCTTGTGGAGATTTGTGGTTGAAATGTTGAACTGTGAGTTTGTGATGGGTAAATGGGCATGCCCGCGGGCACATGGCGCTCGCGGGCAACGGGGCATGGGTAGTGTTCCTTGCCCGTCATATAGTAACGGGTATGCCCGCAGGCATGAATTACCTCGTGGGCACGGGTATGGGTAGTCTCTACCCGTGCCTGTCATGCCCGACTGCCATCCCTACTTGTGAAGAATGAACTCCATATATCACTGTATCTTAATCGCCATCCTTTTTACACAACATCACTTTAGTGCTTCCTCCATTTAATATTATGGGAATGCTAACGATCTGTTGAAAGAAAATCTACCTCAAAAACTTGCAGATTTTGGTCCACCGGATGAACTTTGCGATTCGTACTCCAGGCCTTCTCCTCCAACTCCGGCGACCTCCTCTTCTTCTCCAGCGCCGACGAGACCCTAGACTCCGGTTGAGGACCTTACGGGTTAGGGTCCCGGGTTGAGGTGGGAGTGGGAGGGGTGGGAGGGGGAGGGGAGAGTTCACCGGCTTTAGAGGGATGGCCGTGGGAGGGTGGCGGATCCGGCGGGCAATGAGGCGGCGGCGGCGCTGCCGAAGCCGTGGGGTCGGAAGCTGGCGGTAGGTCGGTGTAGGCGGCGGGGGCAAAGCGGAAGGGTGTGTTAGGAGGAGGCGGCAGGTGGTGGCGCCCTGCCGCCGGAGACGGGGAAGACGACGGCGAGGGGACAGCACGCCACCATCCGCTTGAGGAAAGAAGAGGAGAGGAAGGGGAAGGGGCCGGCCGGGGGGGGGGGGGGCTCGCTGGCGCGTTTATGCCCTACGGCTAGCCGGTGAGGCGGGTAGTGACGCGGTGGGGCGGTGGCGGTGGAATGCACGGTGGGGCGGTGACGGTGGAATGCGCGATGGGAGGGAGTGGCGGCGACGGAATGAGCGAGGGGAGGGGAACGGAAGGAGAGTTAGGGTTAATACCTCTGCACGAATCTAAAAGCATATCCGACGGTCCAAAATTTGAAAGATGGGAGGTGGGATTTTCTGTCAACATATCCTATATATCTATACAAATCATCCCCACTACTAGGAATTCTCTACTTCCTGGTGCTTCCACGTCACCCCATTTGCTATTAACCGTACGATCTGAATCATTCGGCAGGGAATCCATGAAGCAGCCTCCCAGAGTTCCCCGGTTGTTTATTGGGCCAAAAGAAGCCCATGTTATGGCCCAACTCAACGGGTATCCATCCCTAACCAGAGGAAAACCCGAATTTTTTTTATTTATACTTTTTTTTATTAAAATATTTACAAAAATAATTTTTTGTTTCGAAAATTTACAAATCTAATCGCCTGCCGCCCTCAAGAAGGGCGATTTTTAAAAATCGCCCTTCCACAGGGCGGCAAGGGACCTAAATGTAAATTTTCCAGCATAACTTGTTAGCTCTATAATTTTACAATTTAAAATTATATTATATAAAGTCAGATGAAATAAAACTTTATATCAAAATTGTAGAGCTCAAGGAGATCTACAACTTTGTAGTTAGTAACTTTTTCATTTAAGATGTTTTAGATATCCAAATATTCGTTACAAAATATAAAACACATTTTAAAAAATCTCAGATCTATATTTCAAACGATATTGGATGGAGATAAACTTTATATAAAAGTTGTATATCTTGATGAGATCTATAACTTTGTAGTTTATCACTTTTCCATTTAAAATCATTTGGAGTATCGAATAAGCATTATTAGTTTTTAAGTAATTAAAACCGGTGGGAAGGGTTTGAACACAAATAAAAATTTTGTATTTAGGTCCCTTGCCGCTCTTTGAGAGGGCGATTTTTAAAAATCGCCCTTCTTGAGGGCGGCAGGCAATTAGATTTGTAAATTTTCGAAACAAAAAATTATTTTTGTAAATATTTTAATAAAAAAAAGTATAAATAAAAAAAATTCAGGAAAACCCTCCAGTTCCATACACCGCACCACCTGAGGTGGCGGTGCCCGTCACTTCCTCTCCCACGTGCGTCGTGTCCCTCCATCTATATGGCGCTCCCTCTGCCTTTGGTTCAAGCCCACCTGCCGCCTCCCAGCCTTTTCGCCTCCTCTTTGGAATGTCATGAGAAACGAAACCGCTGCTTCGAGATCAGACTTCATGGTTGTCATCAAATACATCAATTTACTGCTCCCATAACGTCATGGTGAATTCATCCTTGGCCTTCGCTTATTACTGGGGAATGCTTCAATCAGGTTCTCTGTTCTCCTCCACCAACTCTGCTTCTTCCACATGTACGATGTTCTGCATTGATAACCGTAGTAAGTAGTTTTATTTTTATCCCTTTGGATATTTGATATGTACAGAAAGTTATTTGGTGATATGGTATCTACAGCCTTCCTTCTGAATGTGTTATGCTGCTCCTGTAGATCTTCAATCTGGAAAAAAAAAAAAAGGTATGTACCGCTTTCCTTAAACCTTCCTCCGAAATTTATTCAGTTGTCTCCAAGCGAATGATCAATTTACCCTATTCTCTTTGTCAGAGTTAAGTTCAATGGTTGTTTTAAATAGCTAACCGGTGATGAATACCTTATACCATTTAACTGAATTTTATTCAGTACGTATGTTCAATCCAGCTGATTAGTCCTAGGTTGATTTTTTGAATCAAACATTGCAGGGAGTCGCAGTAAGTCATTGATTTGTTGTACAATAAGAACATGTGCTCGCTCAATGTATTGGCGCCAACAATTGGTCAAGATTCTCTCACCTGCCGCCATTATCCTGCGGGTAGGCAACTATACTTCTATTCTCTCTCTGTGTTTTTTTAACATTATTCATCTTTGATCTTGGTATTAGGCCCGCAGCTGGCTCAGATTAATCTGTCCTCTTTCCAGCCAATGACCATATTGCATAGATTTAATTTTCCCTAAACTGAAGTGATAAAGCAAGCTTCTACCCAACTGGCCACCTTTATTCTCTGATGATGAGGTAGTTTATTATCCCCAGGTCTTCTACCTTTAACTGTCATGGTTTTTACCTTTTTGAGAATCCAGTTTTCCTTTTCATAATAGAAGATGTTGCCGAAGGTGCTCTAATCTTTCTCCTTTGTTTCTCATTTTTCTTGCCATAGTATCATCAGGTGATTCACTACCTTACCATATTATTATCAGGTGATTCAGATGTAGTGAAAGGATGTAATTGCATGAAGTGCATGATTTGATCAATACACAAAATAGAAGTGCAACTGATCGTCATCTGCAGTACAGGGCAGGTATTTCAGTATTTCACTATCCATCAGTTAAGTGTGTTAGTATTCGTTCTCCGTAGCTTCTATTTTACGGATTGTTTTTTTCTCTTTCTGAATTCATCCTGCAAATATCACGTTTTTTGTTTAGTTTAAAAAAGTCTAGAAATGTATAAGCTTTACTAGGGAAAATTTTCAGCTATTTGTTTACTCAATAAAGTGCAATACTGCATTACGAGGTAAAACTTAACTGACCCTTTCAAATGTTCCCATAGAATTTTACTTAATCTATTGTTCAAAGTGTGTTGTACGTATTTTTTATATATATTTGAAAATATATACACTGTTAATTACACACCGTTAACTTCACATGCAGCCTACACATTGTTGCTCGACTAACCGAGTTTTTTTTACTGTAGATGGCAGGTTCATTTGTTGTACGTATGGCTGGAGCTCAGAAGTTGCTTGCAACCTAATCAGGCTAACCATTCAATCATGACGTAAGAATATAACAAACTGGTGAATGTGATTCAGTAAACAAATAAGCTGCTAATTAATTAAGAACTTCCATTATTCTAGGTGAACATCTTCACAATTCACTGCTACAAACATCAGGGTTTCAAATTAATTATCATGTAACATTAGACTATATGAAACAACTTTCGGTCAATATCTATTACTAAAAGTTTACAACTCTAGGTCATGCAAAAAAATATCCCGCAGCAACGCGCGAGGTATTATCTAGTATATATATAGGCAGTCCCTTAATATTATGATTAGCTTTAATTTTTGTTCTAATCAAACCTTTTAAATTTGTCCGAGTTAATAGAAAAAAAATAATAATATCTTTTAACACAAAATAAACATATTATCAAAATATATTCAATGTCATATTTAATGAAACTAATTTGGTATTATAGATATTGCTAATTTTTTAAATTTGATTAAACTTAAAAAGTTTAACTAGAAAAATAATCAAGGCTACTTATAATACGAAACGAAGAGAATACATAGTATGAACATGATATAAACACAATATTTAGTATTTACCCTCTTCACGGGCGTTTCTGCAAATATGGTTTTTTAGGCCGAGGGACATGGACATGATTTCTCCATCTGTGGCGTGCATCCGCAGAAATTCTCCACCAGCTCAGCCTCGGCAAGACACTAAGACAGCACAGCAAACTCCGCACAGCAGCAAGTCGGCGGTACTGTACACGGGCCGACTCTTATCGCCCGGAGCCGGTCTCGTCTCAGAGAGAGCCAGCCTCCGGTGGAGGAAAAGCTCAAGAAGTCCACCACCACTTCGCGAAACCCCAATTCCAACCCGACTTCTCCACTCCACGAAGAGAGCCAGCTCCGCCGCCTTCACCATGGCGTCCGTCTGGTGCCTCTCGGCCTCGGCCTCCGCCGCTGCGCCGGTGGCGGCGGCGGCGGCGGCGCCCGGGCCCCTCGGGGCCTCGGTGGCCTCCGTCTCCCTCGCGCGGGCGGCGGTCCCCTCGAGGAGGCGGCGAAGATGGGACGCGCTCGTGGTGTGCGCGGCCCCCGACGAGGAGAAGATTACGCGGCGGTCGCCCCTCGATTTTCCCATCGTAATAATCCCCCTCTTCCCGATTCACCGTGAAAGATTCTATCGGTTTATGCACTGATTGTTCTCGTGTGTGTTGAATTGAGTGCTCGGGTTGAGGAATTTTTTTTTTTGGTCATTTTACTAGCTTATAGCATGCGGATTCATGGGATTTGGGGATTGGGGGTGGATGAAATCAGAAGAAATGCCATATATAGGTTCGTAGCTCGCAGGTGCTTGTCATTAGGTTGGACATTTTTTTTTTTGTTATGTGCTCCTCCGAATTGCACGGGCTCTATTAGATGGGAGCGTATCCTATGCACACAGGCCCTCGCGTGTACACACCGTGTACACCAACTAAAAATTATCACAAAAAATTCTAGAAAAATTCATACATGTACTTTCAATAGTATTACATCTACGTGCAAAGTCGCATCTTCAAATTCATTCTACATAGAGAATAACAAAAAAGATAAAATTCTGACAAAATTGCAACCTTAAAACTGTCAGATTTTTTGTTTTTTTTTTTTGTTACGGCTAAAATATAATGAATTTGACGTTAAGATTTTAACCCTAGGTGTAATACAATTGAAAGTATGTGTATGATTTTTTCTAGATTTTTTGGTGACATTTTTTAGTTGGTGTGCACGTGTGTACACGTGAGGGCCTGTGTGCATAGGATATGTTGCCCTATTAGATAGAGCCATCCCAGTGACATTCTCCTTACTTTTCGAAGGAATTCGTCACTCTTCAGCATGGAGTGCCATTTGAAGAAGATCTCGGCTGGAGTACAAATATGTTATTTACTTACACTGCTTGTCCTGTGGATGGAGTTGTTTGAGTTAAAACAACTATAGGATGTTTGGAGGTCCATTGAAATTATCATAGGTTATTTGGAGGCCAGAGCTTGTTAAGCTAACCTTGTAGAACTCTGGAGATCTCTAAGTAGAATGTTGAGCAGATTAGCTGTTTATTATTCCGTGCCATGAGATTAGTTCCAAATGTTCATCCTTCAGTAAATAGAAGCACGAAATTTTATCTGGATTTATTGCTGTAACTTGCATTGAAGTAATCATGTTTGGAAGTAAGAACTCCTATCATATCCTTCTCTTAGCCTTTTCATTTCAGTTGTTCTCTTGATGTCATCATGCTAGTAATTAATTTAGCTTGTTTCAAACACAGCTTGTAGTTTGTTATATCCTAGAGAAGTACATGTTAGTTAATCCTTCAGAGTTAGTATAGTGATAGATAATGTTCATATGATAGTATGTAAGTGAACATCAGTGCTCAGGCTTATCAGTTGTTTTGTGTGCATTTCCCATTGTGAAGGTCAGACCATGTTACATGAAATCTTCCATTCACATGCACCATCATGTGTTCAATGTTGGTCGTGATTGTTATCATATTGAAACTAGATTTGTTGATTTATTTTTTGGGGGTAATGCTGACTAGCTGAGACAATATGGGAAAATTATCACCTCATGTCATGTTTCAATTTTTAATATGATAGCCATAGTTATGAGTACAAGCATCTTCTCCTTTTTCATATGGTTCTGTTTATATTACAGTCCACATCAGCAAGCATTTTCTTTCCATATGTGATTTGTCTTTAGCCTTAAGCAAAAAATATGCACTGGTTCAGTGGTTTATCCACCTTTTACGCTTTTGTGCTAGCATTGAAATAATGTCTATCTTTAATTAATTTTCAGGAATGGGAGAAACCAAAGCCTGGGAGGAGGCCTGATATCTTCCCAAAATTCAGCCCTATGAAAACACCATTGCCCCATCCATTGCCAGCTGATGATCCTCTGGATGATGATGAGGAGGAGGAAGAGGAAGAACCACAACCTCAGGAGGAACCACAGGAGGATGATCCTGACAAGGAAGAACCTGAGGAGGATGACCCGGACAAGCCAACGGAGTAATTTTGGATGATGTGGGTTATGTTAGATAAAAACACTATGTTTAGATCTGCCATATCCTTGAGAGAACGTCATAGGTCTCAGGGTCAGGTTTGACCTGTTAGTTCTGCCGGCTCATATAGGCTGTAGACACGTTTGTTTTGGGAGCACCCCTGAGCTTTTCTAAAGCCATGGAAGTTTTGTCTGACTGATCACAAATATGCAATGTTATATTTCTGCAGAAATACTTCTCTCTCTGCCCGTTGAATATTCATACCGCCACAAGCTCTTTGCCAGATAATTGTACGAGTACGACAATTGTGTCGCTCTATAGACATGTAATGCTGCTTGGTATTCTGAATTTTGATGGTATTTTTAACTGTTAGAACTCATCAGCAGTTGAATTTCCAGCACTCTTGCCAAAAGTGAAAATATTTGATACAGAACTAGGCATTTAAGGTGCTCCTCCTGGCGCACTTTGACATATGTCTGGTAAATATGATCACAGCACGGTGTAGGAAACTAAAAGGACGCCAATTGTACACTACGCGATAATACTGAAATCTTGTTATATTCTATTTCCTTGTAAAAATGTAAAACAATGGCTGTTCACTCGAAATTGTATTCAGGAGGACTGAAGTGTTAAATACATACAGGAAAACCTACAAAATTTCTCTCCCATATGCAGGAGCAAACAGCACGAACTCTACTTCAGTATGGCACATTGGCCCCTCCAAAATAAACTTCAATATCTACTCTCCTTCAGACCCCCACTGGACATCCGTATCTACTTCCCTTTGATCTTGCAGTAGGCATACAAGCCAGAGCCAAGAAAGCCAAGACCTTGCCCGATAACATTAAGCTGCCATAAGAAAGTTTGGGGTCATTATTCAGGGAAAGACTGAAGACTTAAGGGTGTGTTTGTTCCGGGCAGAAGGGGGAGAAAACTGCTAGTTTTTCACGCGCACGCTTCCCAAACTGCTAAATGGTGTGTGTTTTTGCAAAAAAAATTATATAGGAAAGTTGTTTAAAAAAATCATATTAATCTATTTTTCAAGTTCAGATAATTAAAATTCAATTAATCATACGTCAATGGCTCAACTTGTTTTCCTGAAAAGTGAAGATTGAGAAGATACGTAAAACAAGTTGAGCCATTGACGTATGATTAATTGAATTTTAATTATTTAAACTTAAAAAATAGATTAAGATGGTTATTTAAAGCAACTTTTTGAAATTTTATAAAATCATACCATTTAGTAGTTCGGAAAGCACGCGTGGAAAAGGAGACAAATCTTCTTTCCATCCTAAACAAACACTACATTTAACTCACCAGATCAAAAGGAAGCCCACCAAACAGAACCCAGCCAATTCCGACGGTGAAGAAATCCTGCAGAAAAAGGTAAATATGAAAGGACACTAAAAAACAACTTGCAAGTTTGGTGGAGTGGAAGGAACTGGATGCAGGCTGTTATACCTTCAAATTACCACACATCGATTGTGTGAGTGCAGAATTCAGGATTGTATTCCAGAAGATAGTGTAGTTTAGCAGAAAAGCTAGCATGCATGAGAATAGCAGCACCGCCTACAATCGGAATAACATCATATGATATTGATAGCTTTCTGAAGAATAACAGAAGTTGGATGTGTCACTCCTCCACTGAAGTGAACAGGCATGATTGTGTTTTTCTTTTTTTAAAAAAATGGTGCACCCAGAAGTGCTGGAATCTTTAGGTGTCTAAAAACATTACAGATAAAAGGAGGGTAGATATTGCACAAATAAGATCAGTGATGACCATGGTTCTGTGAAATCTGTACCTGAAACCCAGGGGAATAGAGGTAGGGAAATTCTATAGCCTTCTTCAGGTCACCCTGAATATATGTCAGAAAAAGTACTGAAGGCCCACAGACAAGTCCTGGAATCCAAATGGATAGGATATGAATGCTAAGGCAAATATGGTTTAATCTGGATATTATGAATATGAAACAGGTCATCAAAATAATACCGTTGCACCACATCAGGCCGAAGCTATTTAGACCACTAGATTTTCCTAAAACAAAACAAAACTGCTGGTTAGAAAGCTATGTAGTTTAGAATGGGATTGTATGTGGCAAAACTGAAAATGAAATGTTACCTATACGGTTTATAGTAGCAAGGTAAACAGCTGTTGTAATGTTGGCCACAAAGACAATAGCATACCCACGAGCATCAAACGACAGGTCTCGAGCTCCAGCGATAAATGCTCCAAATACAATCAAAGCCACGCTGACAAACCCATGGTAAAAAAAATCAGAAAGTAAAATATGGCATATTCAGAACATAACAATGTTCTGGAAATTTTTAGCGTAAGAAAACAAGTGCTACAACTGCAACCTTATTTCAAGCTACAAAAATACAGGTACAACAGTTAGCAATAGGCTACAGAAAACAAAAAACAGCAACAGATACTAATTGCTAGTTCACTGGGATAGACTAATAATTTCAGGGTTTCCAAAAGATGGAAATAATATATAGAAATAAATAAGAAAGCATATGACAAAAGGAAGCTTACATTAGTTACTAGCACGTCAGACTATTCTGAGAATATTACGAATTTATAATACAGTAAAAAAAAGGAAAAATCATTTTTATAGACATGTACCTGCCGATTATAGGTGGCGTATGCTTCTGTTTTGCCAAGAAATACTCCATTGTCATTGTAAAGACTACTGTTGTGCGCCTCAGTGTTGTATACATCGGAACATTGACTCCACGCACAGATTCCATTGAAGCTAACTTTTACCATGATGGAAAACATTACTCAGGATTCAATTCAAATAGAATACATGCGACTAAGTGTATTTAATAAATGTATTATAAGTGAAGAAAGAAGCATACCATATAGAGTAAATAAGCCAAAGAAAGAGGTGTAGTACGCAACAGTATTCTGAACGGAACGAAGAATAACGCATCAGAAGGCACGGATGGCTCGCTATTTGTAAATGAAATTATCTTTAGCCGCCTCAGAACATAAAGAAGGCCTGTTGAGCACACCATCTGCACATGTTTATTAAGTGTCAAAAAAAAAAAGAGGCAGGAGATGCGAGCAGCAGATTACATATATGCATCAAGAAGTTCATCAACAGTGATATCAAATAAAGGTATGAAAAGACCTTTAGCAATATCCATTGCTAAGCAGATGCTCAAGTAAGGGTCGGAAGTTCAGAATGTTCTTTGATTAGATAAAATCGAATATGTAATGTTTTGATTATGCTATCCTACAGTTTATCTCCTAGACTACAAGCAAGTTATTCATGTGTAAATGTGTAATGCACACTTGCACAACATAACAGCAAAGCCAGACTTTCCAGAGTCCATCCAAGGGGACATGAGAAGTACCTGAAGGAGCGTAATGACATTTGCACAGGGGAAATTATATGAAGACAGTGCTGCTTTGTTAAACATCACTAGCAACACTGCGGATTGAAAAGTTGCCAAAGTTAGTAAAATGATACCTGAGATCTGAAAAATGAAAACAAATGTAGAAAGAACGAAAACAAGATGTCCGTATGTGAAATTAAGTGACTAATCCCTGTTTCATAAGAACACCACCTAGCTGACTATCTGTGTTGGACAACTAAGTGGCATAATATTGGATTCTCAACTCAATCATCACCAGGTTTTCAACCTATCATCGACATGCTATCTGCATCTCAGAGATCTCTATCGATTTTGATTGCTTCGCAGATCTGCCATCATGGCCAAACCCGAAACAAAAGTTTCAGAATTTTCACCAAACGCAGTTTTTCTCTTCTAAAAGGTTATTATCCTTGTAGATTTTCACTGAAACGCTGACAGTAATTACTACATAATGATGTTTGTACAGCCGCTGACCACTTAGCACCTCCTGTCCTAGTATTTAATGTTGAAGATGCAAGCAGCCTCCCAGACCCCCGGAACACATCCGTCAAGTGAAACCCCCACGAATTTCCAAGCACCACGCAGCATGTACTTTGCGTGTAATGCCAAAATGGATGAACTTTTTTTTCTGAAGTTGTTGGACACAAGTCAACCAACCGGCCCTCTTCCCAAAGATAATCGAATCCAACTGAATTAACGACCAAAACTGAAACCAAAAGTCACCTAGTAGTAGTACAAATTCGTGAGCTGAACCCGCAGGAACCCCAACCACGCGCTACCCCCCAAATTCGCAGCCGCATCACGAGACGCCACCCTCAAATTCTCGCTAACGACGACCGCATCCCGAGACCCAGCCGACGCATCAGAGAAGAAGAAGAAGAAGAAGCGGCGCGGATCGGGGGAACGTACCGGAGCAGGCCATGTAGGAGAGCGCGGCGACCGCGCCGCGCCGCGTCATGGCGGACCCCTTGAACAGCGCGGCATCGTCGCCGCCGCCGCCCCCGCCCCCGTTGCCCTTCCCCGCCTCCGCGGACATCGGCAGCAGCGCCCCCCCTCCCTTCGCCATCTCCGCCGCCCGGATCTCCCGCCCCCCGAAGCCTCCGCCGCCGAGGAGGACGAGCACCACCACGACGACGACGACTCAGGAGGAGGAGAAGTCACGAGGATATTTCTAAACGAGACGCGGTCAGCCCGATCCGACGGCCAGCCTGCCTCGTCCGCGCGGTCGCGATGCGGAAAACTTCTTCTCTCTCCGCCTTCCTGGTGCCCGAGCGTGGCCAGCGCGGCCGCCGCCTTTTTTATAATGAAGTGGAAACGCTTTTACTCCCACCGTCCCATAATCTCCCACCGTCCCATAATATAGGGATTTTGAGTTTTTGTTTACAATATTTAACCACTCATCTTATTTAATTTTTTAAAAATTATTATTTATTTTATTTGTGACTTACTTTATACTTTAAGCATAACTTTTTATTTTATATATTTATAAAAAAAAATTTAAATAAGACGAGTGGTGAAAAAAAAAAATTAAAATCACTTATACCGTGGACGGAGTGAGTACTACACAAAAATTGCGCCCTCTCGCTGTCCGCGGCGGCCTTCGCTTCGCTCGATGGGCTTGGCTTTCCGCCGTTGGTGAGTTGGTCACATCACATCATGGATGGATCGCATCGACCACGTCGAGGCCGGAAAATTTTTTGGGGGGAAAGAAAATTACCAGAAAGCCAACACGAGGAGGCAGCCCTGCCGGCTGAGTGGAGTCTCTTATCTCGACCTGACCTGCGAATGCGCGATGTCACCACAAGCCACTGAGAGCAAGTACAATTACAGGGCTATAAACCAGATATAAATTATATTTTAAAAAGATAAATAAAGAAAGAGAAGA